GGGGGGTGTAAACTCACGACGCCGGGGCCCTATTTTGGCACGAAATCTAAAATTTACATTTTTCAAATCCCTTTAGCTGCGAGCATTTCGCTCTTGGCAACGCATTAAAATTTACATAAATAAGTCACTATGAGAGCACCCGAGCAAAGGAATGAATGGAAAACCATGATCGTAGATGTCTGTCGCAGATCTGGCACTGGATGATGATGACGACGATGTCACTAAAATGGTCATTAAATCTAAAAAGTGAACCTATTTTGACAGTTCTTCATCTAATGATTAATGAATGATTTCCCGATCAAAGACACTAGTTCTCAGCAATTATTTTGAAAGTTTTTCATCTGATGATTAATGATTTAATGAATGACTTCCAAATAACAGAGGAAGAGGAAGAAGTCAAGACAAAAGTAAGACAAAATGACAGAAGCGACAGGCGGAAAGGGGAACAAGTAGGGCCAACCAGTGATACCCACCGGCCACCCACCCAGCAGACGTGATGATAACTGTCGCACTGTCTCAAACAGAAGCAGGTTAAGACAAGGGCAAACACTGATCTTTTAAACGCCTTAGCCTGAATAAGACACGCGCGCACGCGCACAAACCCACACATACACACACGTGCATGTGTACATACACACATGAGCGTGTGTACTGCGTGTGTGTACACACACACACGCAAAAACACACAAACACACGTGTGCATGAACGAACGCATGCACACACAAACACACACAGGCAAAATATAAGAAACATTTAGACAGCCTCGTTTCCCTTTATCTTCTGAAGCCCGGCAAAGCGTGACCATACACACACACACAAACATTAAATACAAATTATTATATCAATATATCACATACACATAAATTTACAAACCTACCTGTCCCTCCCCTGCCACCCCCACCTCTTTCTCGTTCTATCTCTCTCTCTCTTTCTCTCTCTCTTTCTCTACAAAATCAAGACCCATTTTAATGTACAGGCTTCTCAACAATTTACATCTTTGTTCTAAAGTGAAACAGAGAACAAGG